CTTCATTACCCATTCAAGCCATCTCCAGCCATTATTAGTCTCAAAGTGGGTTCCTCGTCATCGAAATTAAAAACAACGTTTTATATTTACTCAATAAAAACTTTATTGAAGCCATACGGCTTCAACTCTACACGTACATGTTTCAACGTGATCTACAAATATCATACTAAAAATTTGACATTGACAGAGTTTTACTTTAGAAGATGATTGCCACTAACTTTCACTTGTTTCTTTACTCAACAAGCCCAAAAACAAGGCAAGAAAGCATCTTAGAAAGTGGCCAACCCACCAAATTGTTCATCTTTCTTCTTCTTGTTTCAGTTGAGATAACTCCATAACTACTTTATCATTAATGCGAGTTTAAATCTAAATCCCTTCTATGTGTTTCTGGGCAGTGCATGATGTCATCACTTAGTCATAATAACTACTAGTAATTTTTAAAAAAATCATAATTCTGGTGTAAATGATGTTATCATTACCCCTTGAAGTTAGCTTTCTTACAGAAACCTCTGGTTTCTATAAGAAGCATAAGTACAGGGTGAAAGAGGAATTACCAGCCAATAATTGATAAACATGTAACATGATTAACATGTCTTTAGGGGGCCAACCCCTATATCATGTATGAAGTGAAGAGGTAAAAAAAATCAATAAACATAATATTAAATTTTATTACACACATTCATAAAATACACTAACTTTCAGTCAGGGGGAAAAAACTCAGAAAACAAGTAATAAAAAACATTTTGTAAAAGTAAAATGATGTAGGGATGGCAGTTCCAAAAAGAATGCAAACAAAAATATAGGGATGATCCAGCTATACATATCATCCCTACATGACTTTCAATGTCAAAATTTAATGTTACACTGTAAAATGCATACTTGACTTTAATATTACTGCAGTTGGAAGTTATATATTCCTAACTCTTGGTATGCAGTTTGTTTATCATAATATCATGATCATGTCAGGGTAGGCATCAGTTTAGTGTAACTACGAGCATAAGACTTAGATACAAAGGAAATCAAGTTGAGTCAAAAAATGTCTTGATTATTACACTCTCATTACACAAGGTCAGTCAAATTTTGTACTTTCATAGTGTAACATTAAATTGTATAGTTGTATCATTCCAATATTATTGTTTGTATTCTTTTTGACACAACTATCCCTACATGATTTTACATTCATAAAATTTTTTTCATCACTTGTTTAATTAGTACTACAATATATTATTTAGAATTAGCATTTACTAGTTGTTTAATAAGATGTAGAGTTGGGCAATTTAATCAATTCATTTATTACTTATTAGCAGTGATTACATCAAATGTAATCTATTAATGTGGTCAATAATTAATCAATTAGCAAATACTACTAATTGCCCAGCTTTAACTAGTTGTGGTACTAGAAATTAATACTATCAATTAACTCATGTAATGGAAATTGTTTCATTTATACTTAATAGTACCAATATTAATAAGGAGTTTTTGGTATTTGAATTACCTACAGCTTAATATATATATATTAAAATACCTTAATATTAGTTAAGTTTATAAAAATACTGAGTAGCTATTTTGGTAAGAGAGAACCAACACTATCAAACTTTTAACATGAGGCAGAACATTGATACGTGGAGTGGAGTTTATAGGGTGTTATAGATTTCAAGACTGGGTTATGCTTCAGAACTGCAAGATCAATTGCAATGATCAAGAGACTGATCACATTCTGTTCAATTTATTGAAGTGCCCATGGTTCCAAACTTTTCAAATATCCTGTATAATGAATACATGCTTGGTATCCAGTAACAACTGTTCGATAAAACATAAGTTGAAGTGAATGGTTTCACATACTTTTGGAATTACGCTTTGTTGGTTAATTGTGGTGTTAAGTGGGTCAAATGGTTTTTAACTTACTTGCATCACTGACTAGCACCTTATCTTATTAAAAATGATGGATCACAGAAACCATCCTTCTGGCTTAGACATAACCAGACAATACTACAAATACTCAGTGACTTTTATTCAGGTTTCCACCGTATCACTAACTATTACTAATATGACTATAGTACAAACATTTAATAAAAAATACATCAAACATCTTTCTCTATTGTCTTCTTTTGGAAGCGATTCTTAAACTTCTAGCGTCTAATATTATTACTACAGATCTATCACATCAACTTAGGTTTAACAATGTAGTATCACTTTACTACTTACTGAGGTTGTGTTTAGACTTATCATTATCAACTTTTTTTTATACTCTTTTACTGCCAAATTTATAGATGAGCAACCTTCCAGTTCCAGTGTCAAGCTTATTTTAATTGCAAATACATAATAAAAAAGGGCATCTGTTTAATATTTCATTAATCATCTGAAACTCAAAGATGGTAAACTTTGGGAAATTTGTATGGGAATACACATATCCTTTCTTCAAACCAATAAAAAATTCCACACTTGGTTAGTTGATAGTGGTCTAGTCTCTAGATAAAGTGGTACATAAATGTACCCATGTGGTAGTGAAAGAATCAAAATTAAAAACTAATTTTTTAAACTTCACTGAAGCTTAAAAGTAGAATTTTAAACTGAGTCTTAGAGAAGTGTCCAAATGATAATCTAACAATCTGATCTAACCAGATAATTTTAAAATGTATTGACAATTATCTCTTCAATAACACTAACAGTAAACACCCAGTATCAAGTTTCAACAAATGTTTTAGTTTCACATTCTATCGGTGGGTGTTTTTAGCAAATATTAGTCATGACGTAATCATGGGTTACAATCTTAAGCTCCGAACTGTAACTTCTATTCCAACTTCTCAGCTTAGGTATAATAAATTATTATGATAGATACACTAAGCCTAACTTGCACGTAATATTTCTGAAATTAGTTATGTAAATTAAAACGTTCAGAACAAATATAAGCACATATAAACAACAAGCTGTAAAATAACATGTGGTTTAATATACCATTATTAGATATTTTGAATAATACGAAACTTCACTTCGACCTGCAGCCTTTAGGAGTACTTGTAGTACTATTTATACGAACTTATGTTGTCAGTTGGTTATTCGTTTACTTGTATTTCGAAAACCACAAATAAAATTGGCGCTCCCAAACGCCCTCTGATTTTCTATCTTTGGATAAAATTAATTTGCAAAAGGTGAAAACTAAAATTAAGCAACTGTTAAAAAACAAACAAAGCATAATTTATATTTGTCCTTCAAGGTGGTTCCTACCTCACACTCTCTCCTTAAAAAGTAAAAATTTAAATCCACTTTCATATTTTTCAATAAATCGTCTAATCCTGCAGTACTCGTATAAAGTACTGTATTTTGTTTAATGCTTTTGGTAGCTCATTCGATAAGCTTCTATTTGTTTGTTCTTAAGCTCAAAGCTACATAATGGCTTATCTGTGCTCTGCCCACTGAAGGTGTCGAAACCCAATTTTTAGTGTTATAAACTAAACTTACCATTTAGCCACTGGGGACTTTCATAAACTAATCAACTTATTAAAAAACTTTCCGGTGGGTGAACTGTTAATTGACAGACTTGCAACGCTAAAATCTCAAGTTTGATTCCTTGCAATGAACAGAGCAAATATATCTCCTTAGGCAGCTTTACGTTAAAATAAACAACAAACTGTTAGGAAAATAAATAAATATATCTTAATTGAAAGCAAGCCAGTCTTTTATAACTTTTAAACTTATCAGAGTCTCTTCTCATTCTATTATCTTCAGAATACAGCAAAAAAAAATCAGAGGCCTTAATCATATCAGTCAGATGGACAGTCTTGTAAACTTCAATAATATCACTTCTTATCCTCACTTCTCAAGAGATAAAAAAATTTAGAGATCTTAACCTATCCTAAAAACATAACTATTCTATATTAATAATCATCCTAGTAGCCTTACTCTGAACCATTATTGTAACTATATTACTGAACTATATTATTGTAACACGGTAATTATTACATCTTATATTTCAACTGATAAGTTACTTTTTAATCATAATTAAGCCAATGTCTCTTCTCTTTTAATATTGTTATATTGTATTACATAATAACTTCAAATAGAACTGCTGTTAAAATTATACAATAATAATTAATAACAAGTAATCTTTGTTACACAATGGGGTGTCTGTGCTGTGCCCACCATGAGTATCGAAACCTGGTTTTTAGCGTTCTAAGCATCCAGACTTACTGCTAAGGGCTTGGCATGGCCAGGTAGTTAGGGCGCTCAACTCGCAATTTGAGGGTCGCGGGTTCGAATCCTTTCAGCCGTGGGGGCGTTATAATGTTACTGTGAATCCCACTATTCGTTGGTAAAAGACTTGACGGTGGGTGGTGATGACTATCTGCCTTCCCTCTAGTCTTACACTGTTAAATTAGAGACGGCTAGCGTAGATAGCCCTCGTGTAGCGCGAAATTCAAAACAAACTTCTGCTGAACCATTGGGGTCAAAAGGACACCGATCCTAAAGATTTCAACAACTTACTACAAGAATGGCTCAAGGACGCTTTTATCACTGGAAATATACAGATAACACTACCCGGTAATAAACCACAAACAAAGGCAATGGTCATAAGAGGTATAGATATTAACATAAATATAGATACCATAAACGAAGAACTGAAACAATAAAACATAGATTTCATAAAAGAAGAAAGGATCACGTCCGAAAGGACACAGCAACCTACTTACCACATAAAGGTTACACTTCAAGCACATAAGAACATCACTGACCTCCTTGATAATGGGGTCATCCGATGTTACAACGATTTACAGTGGAGAAGGCGAAAACGCCAGCTATAACAGTAACGCCATGCTATAATTGTCAAAGATAGGCATGTGTCGGCTGCCTGTAATCTACACCACGATGAGTCGGCTGTGGTGGCGAACACCTAGCGTCACAATGTAAAAAAGAAAGCCCAACTCCTAAATGCTGCAATTGCAATGAAACACATACAGCAAACTACAAAGGCTGTCAAAAATATAAACAAATATACAATATTAGAAATAAAACAAACACTAAACAAAATAACACTAAAACATACGCCACGGCCACCAAAATCAACATAGAAAATATAGAAAACACAATTAAAATCAGAAACGAAACGGGCCCTACAAACACAGACCAAGCAAAACCAAAAGAGAAAAAACAACCAATGGACACAGTAAATAAACAAGAATCAACACCCATCGTTACGGCAATCACTAACATGATAATCGACTTTATGGCAGAAATACAAAAACCAAACCAAGACACAAACTACCTTTTTATACTTTTTACACTAGCACCTGAACACCTAGTATCAATACTCTCGCAAATAATACAGATATTCCTGACAAAACCAACACATAAATTCACCGTTTTTCATGTGAATATCCAAGATGATCTTGTTTCTAAAAAGACATGAGATCGAAGAACTAATTAGATTTATAGATGCTGATATTATACGTATTTCCGAGACCCTTATCACAAATATATCCTCTTTAAAATTTAACGGCGACACTACGATTATGATGAATAGACAACATTACAGAGACCCAAATCGGGGCATAGCCCTAATCTATAAATCAACTTTAGCCATTACAAACTTAAATTTCGAAAGCTCAAACGAGTGCATAGTCGTAGAAATTACCATATCTAATAATTATCAAATTACAGTTGCAGGGATATAGTGCTTACCCAGTAAAACCCTGGATACAAAACTTCCAGAAAAGATTGTAAACTATAACAGAAACTACAGTGTGATATGGAATCTCAACTCGAAACATACACAACTTGGATGCAGAAGAACAGCACCAAACGGTTCATGATTATAAGCTCAGTACGTATCAACGACCAAACACCAACTCATTGGTGCTCAGCTACTGATTCAGGAGGAATTATAGATTTATGTATAACTTCCTCAGACCTAAGTGTAAAATGTACATAATTTAATGTAGAACAAGACATCGATAGCAATCATATTCCTATATGGTGTAACTTCAATCTCACCCCCCCCCCTCTCCATCAAAACAAAACAATATTCCAACCAAAATTAAACTACAAAAAAGCAAATTGGCAAATATATATAAAACAAAACTGAATGAACTCTTACCACAAATAACTACAACATGTGCCTCGAGCGCTCTAGACATAGATGATTACTGTCAAGTAATAACAGAGTGTATAATAAAAGCTGGCCAAAGAACAGAAACCTAACACAAAACAAGACAACTGGGACTCTTATTGTAACAACCTAAATGAACAACAAAATCCACAAGACTTCTGGAAACATCTAAAAATATACACACAGAACAACCAGCCAAATAAAATATACCCAACACTAATACATTACACTAAGTCAGCATATACAAACTAACAGAAAGCAGAACTATTTAAAGAACATTTACAAAATATCTTTCAAACACAAAATGATCCAAACATGAATGATTACTTCCGAAATCAAATAGAAAACAAAATTCAACAAAATAGTAACATATTTACACCAACCTTCCCGGTCTCACTCGTAACACAGGAAACTGTACAAACAACATACTAGATAAATACATGACAAGCGAAATAACAACCACTCAAGTTTCAATAGCTATAAAACACACTAAAAACAAAGCACCCGGAGCAGACGACATACAAACAATCCTACTCAAAAACGGAAGTCAGTTGTTACTTGAACACCTAAAGACACTGTACAATCTTTCCCTGATTTCAGGGAACACCCGTCTCTTGGAAGCAAGCGAATATTCTCATATTTTTAAAGGAAGGGAAACCAGCATATAAGTCACAAAGCTACAGACCCATCAACCTGACCAACTGCGTAGGAAAATTTTTGGAAAGAACAGTAAGTAGTATATTAAATAACCACCTAGAAAGAAACTCAAAATTATCTGGTGTACAAAACGGTTTCAGAAAATTTCGGCAAACAACAAATCATTTAGTTAAGCTAACTGAAACCGTAATAGATAGCTTTAATAAAAGAGAGTGCACGGTAGTTTGTCTCCTAGATCTAGAGAAGGCATTCGGCACAATTTGGCATGCAGGTTTCGGATGCTAGAGATGGAACTTCCGCGGGTTATCAAACTTCCTACAAAATAGAAAATGTAGAAGGCACCTACTCAGAGTACTTTATTCCTGAGACAGGTGTACCTCAAGGAGAGGTAGTTAGCTCCATACTCTTCATCATGTATGTAAGCGATATGCCATTAGACGAATCAGACTTTTATTACACCTCACAATTTGCCGATGATGTAGCTGTCTGGAAGAGTTCACCAACTCCATCAATCGCGGCCATAAACCTACAACCATTAAATTCCATTGCTGAATACTGCTAAAAGAAAATGATAAAATAAGCATACCAAAAACACAAATTCGTGTACTTGCTCAACTAAAAAGACTACTGAAAATTACCCCAAAATTATACCTCCAATGAACACTCCTCCAGACAGCTACTTCAGCAAAATTTCTCGGTCTAACATATAATATTAAATTAACTTGGTAGAAACACATAAATAAAATTTCTAATAAAATCTGGCGAAGAGTAAATCAAGTTAGAGGTCTGTCGGGGAATAATACAGGCGAAAAATCAAATAACATATTAAAGATATACAAACAGTACATAAGACCAGTTATAGGATATGCTAGCCCAGCATGGATCAATGTAGCTCCCAAGAAAATCAAAAGTAATGTTACGTCTCTGGTCGTTAGTTAATTTTCCGTAAAAATTCTTTCCGGAGAAACTTTAGCGATACAAGTCATTTCTTAAAT